TTTTATCTTGTGGGAACAATGAACTTCCGTGGAAAGTTTGATGAATAACTCTTAACGAGTTTTAGAACTCAGAACGAGTTAGAACTCTGTGAAAAGAGTTGTTAGAACCGAAAATTCGGTTAATGGCCAAGCAGATTTTCTGTTGTTGAAGGATTCTTTTAGGTTTGATCCTCTGAATCTGAGTTAAATCTTCTGTTTCGAAGAATTCGCCTCTGCTATCTCCAGAGAAAATCCCAAGCTCCGAACCTCCTTGTGCGGTTTTGATGCTAAAAATCTAACCTATCAGCCAACCACCCACCTCTTGTGGTTTTGATTGCCAAATCTTCAACCAATCGGCCAAAAAAACCGACCTCTTTAATCGGTTGAGTTTGTTGAGTTTTTATAGGTGGATAATAGGTTATAACTGCCCTCTAAATCCGCTCCTAAGTGGGCGTGATTTCCTCAGATCGTGGGAAAAATAGTTCTGAAACCGTTCGACTCATATTTAAATGAGTCAAATGCCCAATTTGGCCTTCAGAACCCTAACTTCGCGTCTTGTCATTGAGACGCGAGGTTAGGTGTTGACTGAACGTCAAAAACGCGAGGGCCGCTCGCGTTTTGCTTGTTGCAGCTTGGAAACGCGAGGATCGCCTGCATTTCAAAAATTGTACCGCGAAGATGAGTTCCGCGTTTTAGAAGGAGCTAGTTGATTTGTGACTTCTTCTGTAGAGCGTTACAAGGACCATTGTTCAGTAATACTCGCATTAGCTATTGTGGGGTGTGAAAGTCATCAAATTGTAACTTTCACTGTAGATTGTGAAGACTGCTGAATAGAGTTTTTATCAGTTGTCGAAAATGTCGTTGAATTGTAACTCTTCTCGTTCTATGTGAAAAGTTCTCCATTTGCAGCTTTCGTTTGTTGGCGTGAAAGTCGTCTGATTATATCTTTCATCATTGAAGCTTGATGGGTATTAGCTATCCATTGTGATTTTTAGACAGCCTACAATCTTGATTCTTGTAACGCCGATTTTCAATCTTACATGACGTCGTCTTCTATCTTGTGAACTCGCTCACGGATCCATCGCCATCGCTCTGATACCACTTGTTAGAGAATTTCAGTCTCCCAGCCTACCAAGATATGCCCAACTCGGAAGCCAACCCACAATCAACAAGATAGAACAACCACAATTAAGAAAAAAAATACCGAGATTTACGTGGTTCGGTCGACCAACTTCGACCTACGTCCACGGGGCAACAATACGAGAAATTGGTTCGGTCGACCAACTTCGACCTACGTCCACGGGGCAACAATACGAGAAATTCACTATGTATTAGGGAGAACTACAAGAGGAACCACTCAACTCTCCACGGGGCAACAATACGAGAAATTCACTATGTATTAGGGAGAACTACAAGAGGAACCACTCAACTCTCATCTGTCAATCTCTCAACCTCACATACATAATTAACTCTCATATTCTCTCCAAAGCCCACTCCTTATAATCTTTTGCACGGATAAAGACTACGAAACTCTCTCTCTCTCTCTCTCTCATCTACTACATCTCTACTTTTTCTTCATGGTTTTTCCTCCACCAATAGAAGAATATATATATAGGGAAACCAAAACCATATCTTTAGCCTAACTTCCTAATTAGAATAAGATTCAAACTCCTAATCATGATAAAACTCAAACTCCTAATCATGATAGAACTCTAACCCTATCTAATTCTCATGAAGTTACACAAAGAATCAAAGATAAAATCCCAACAATATTTGTATGATGTAATATTTGTATGAGCTCTAACTTTATAAGCCATCAGTAAAACATGGCTACGGTCTTCTTTCCAAAAAAAAGAAATTGTAATATATATTATAATTCATATTTGACAAATTTCAGTTATAATATATAGATTTCAACAGTTAATTAAAGCTTAAATTTTAGAATCATTCACAGAATCGCGGGGAGTAGGAGTAGTAATTAGTTCTAGGAATGCACTCTCTAATAAACGTATAAAAATCTAGAAAATGTATAGATGTCAACCAATATTTAATGTAGGACGCTTAATATGAGTTGGAGTCTATTTAGATTAGGAAATATAGATTAGGAAATAAATTTAATTTTAGAGTCAAATTAGATTAGGAAATAAAATTAATTTTGATTCATGATTTGTTTCCTCTATTATAAGGAGTCTTTTTAGGATATAATTTGACTTTTTTTTGTAATTCTAGTCTTACTAGGAGTCTTATTTGATACTTTCTATTTTTATAATTCTAGTCTTACTAGGAGTCTTATTTGTTTTTCTATTTAAGAAGAGTCATGTAACCCCAAAGGAGAATAATTTTCATCAATAAAATTTCCTTTTTTCAATATTTTCTTTGTGGATTCAAAGATCGTTCTTTGTGGATTCAGAGAACACCCTTGGTGGATTCCGAGGTTATCACTTCCGCGCTACGTCAATTGGTATTAGAGCATTATTCCTCCTATCCGATAGCAGGTGATGAAGCCTTTATTCCTCAAACTGAGTTCGACGTGCTAAGGTCCGACGTAGATCAGCTAAAGACGAAGGGTGATCAGATAAGGGCTGCCATAGAGCGACTTATGATGGCGGTAGAGCGTCTGAACACGACAGGAGTTCAAAATCGCGTTGATGGTCGCCAACGACGTGATCCTACTCCATATGATAAATTCAACAGGGACAATGATCTTAATCAAGACATTAGAGTTGGGAAGAACAATGAAGAACTAATAAAGCAAGAAGAACCACATCCAGAGCACAATATATTTCGTACGAGATGTACCGTGATGCAGAAGATTTGTAATGTTATTATTGACAGTCACAGTGGAAGGAATCTTATCTCTCAGCGTATGGTGAATAAGTTAGGCTTGAAGATAGAGAAACACACACCTCTCGTTAAGATTGACTGGATTCACAAGGGCAATGATGTGCAGAACGATGAAGTGTGTCGAGTCTCTTTTTCTATCGGTCGAACTTATGTTGATGAGGTTTTGTGTGATGTTGTCGAGATGGATACTTGTCATATACTTTTAGGTAGGCCATGGAAATTCAATAATGAAGCTACCCATAGGAGCAGAGACAATGTTTATATCTTCAAGAAAGATGGACGACGAATTGTACTCAAGCCTCTTACAGAAAAGGAGTCATCTAAGATAAAGACTATTGAGAAGAAGGAACTCTTGGTGACAAACAACGATACTTTAACAGAAAACTTGATGCAATTTGAAGAGGTCTGTGTCTTGGTTGTAACTGAAAAAGAAGAACCTGCCTCTACCGAAATTCCTCCTAAGGTGCAAACACTCGATATGCATGAAATGCATGATAGTGATATGATAGTGAAGATGGATGATATACATGATATTCTTAAAGTGGTTGAAAGTGATATTCAACATATTGGTGTTGTCCCGATAGAAGAGAAGGATAAAATAGAGAGTGAGACAATTGATGGTATGTGTGAATTGCTTGATGGAGGGCTCGAGGCAAAGAAGATGAAAGAATTATGTATGGAGTATGAGGAAGAAAATTCTTTTTTGGAAGCAATGATCATCAATAATTTTAACAATAATGAGATGATACAGCCAACACTAGAATATAGGAAGTAGCAGGGAATATATTTTAGAAGAGTTTTTCATGTCAACTATAAAGCCACATGCTGTCAGTTACATACACTTGTCATGGAAAAAATTCATACACAAGTTTGATACAAAAGAAGTCTTAGCAGAGGAGGTAAAAGAACAAATGGAGAAAATCAATACTAAGTATAAAGCGGATGCTGATATTTGCAAGAGGAAAAAAATATTTATCAATGAACCTACTATTCTAACAAATATAAGCTCGGGGTCGAGCTTCTTTCAACAAGGAGAGACTGATGTAGGACGCTTAATCTGAATTGGAGTCATTTTAGATTAGGAAATAAATTCAATTTTAGAGTCAAATTAGATTAGGAAACAAAATCAATTTTGATTCATGATTTGTTTCCTCTATTATAAGGAGTCTTTTTAGGATAGAATTTGACACTATCTTTTTTTTTGTAATTCTAGTCTTACTAGGAGTCTTATTTGATACTTTCTATTTTTGTAATTCTAGTCTTACTAGGAGTCTTATTTGTTTTTCTATTTAAGAAGAGTCATGTAACCCCAAAGGAGAATAACTTTTCATCAATAAAATTTCTCTTTTTTAATATTTTCTTCGTGGATTTGAAGTTCTTCGTGGATTCAAAGATCGTTCTTTGTGGATTCGAATTTCTTCGTGGATTCAAAGATCGTTCTTTGTGGATTCAGAGAACACCCTTGGTGAATTCCGATGTTATCACTTCTGCGCTGCGTCAATATTACATGTCGAAAATAGAGGGAAAAAAGAAGAATGTAGAACAAATGTTTGGAAAGTAAAAATAATCTGAATATGCCAATGATTATATCCAATTAATTTTACATAAAATAAAAAAATATAAAAAAAATCTCAAAAAGAAGTACAAGTTGTATTTAAATGACAAAGAAAAATCAGATATTGAATAATTATTTGAAAACCCCTTTTAAGCTTCTTCTCCTAATTCTAAAGCTTAATCGCACTTACATACCCTATTGTTCTCTTATTTTTTACTTACATACATTCAATTATTTTTTACATCACTTGCATACTTTAAAGTTTGCACTTTATTTCCCCTAGTAATGCAAATTTGAGAATTTCTCCATGACAATTATCATATAATCCTCACGTTGCTAATTTTAGAATATTTAAACAATTAATATGTATTAAATTTATTATTAAACCTATCAAAATAGTATTTGAAAATATAACTAGAGTAGATTTAAAATAAATTAAAGTAGTTTTAATAGTAAATTCTTAACAGAAGTTAAAAGAATAAAAATTCTAAACGCATGAGAATTTTTGAATTGCATAATTGATAGTATCTAAATTCTAAAGTGTAAATAAGTGTAATTAAGTCAAAAATTAAATAAATAACTAACTACTTCCTAATTACTTATTAGCAGCGAAGCCCGAGAAAGTGGGGGTGGAGAGAGAGAGAGAGAGAGAGAGAAGAAAAATCTCTTTAGTTCTTTGCTTCGTCCTCTCTCAGATCCGAAGCTCGAAACCCTAGCGAGCTCGAACTCGATCCAGATCGAAGAAATTCAAACGATTCCGAGCTCTCACTCGCTTCTACTCGCCTGAAACCGACCTTTCTTGTTCTCCAATGGCGTCTCAGGAGCAAGCTGCGGCCGGATCTCCCCCATCCCCTCAACTCGTAAGCGATCTTTCAACAATTTGCTTAGAATTTAATGTGTTTTAGGTGTTTTTCCCCTAATTTTGGGTGATTTTGGGAATTTTAGGTGGGAAACGCGTTCGTCCAGCAGTATTACACTATCCTTCACCAGTCGCCGGCGGTGGTGTACAGGTTCTATCAGGAGAGCAGCAAGCTCACCCGGCCCGGGCCGCAGGGAGTTATGAGCTCGGTCACCACTCTGCAAGTGAGCATTTTGTTGTTTTCTCTGATTTTTACTGTTAAAAGTTTTGATTTGGATGCGGTCTACTTGAAAATAGGACTGAACAAAATGTTAATTAGGAGGAAACGATGTTTATTCATATAAAAAAATTCATGTTTTTCGTGTTTGATGTTTTTTTTTTGTTTTATTTATTTATTTGGGGGGGGGGGGGGGGGGGGTGTGGGTCAGATGTCTGCTTGATTTGGAAATTCCTTTTTGGGTTTAGTGTGGGTATGAAATTGTGAATAAAATAGTTTTTACTCAGGATAAACCTTATAATGAGATACTTAATATACACTGTAGATTTAAGATTGAGAAGTGAAACGTGTTGATTGTGTGCTTTTGTAGAAAAGAGCAAAATTGATCCGTGCAATGCCCGTGACATTAGTTAAAAATATATCGCAATAAATAATGATTTAAACATTTGGTTCAAAAATACATCATAACCACTTAGAAAAAATTATACTAGCTTACAACAAAATATAGCAATTTAAACCTCATACCAAGTTGCTAAATATAAAATAAGTTTAAACTTAATTTCACATAGTGTTTTACACCAAAGGGTGATTTTGGAAGTAGGTTTTAAAATAAATGGGGGTAAAACTTTAGCTTCGTAGGCAAAAACTCTTTTTTGGAAGTGGGATGGTTTAAAAATATATAGGCAAGTCACTCTTTGAAGTGGTGGGCTCTAAAATAAATTGGATTGAAACTTTGTATTTAAGGATACGAATCCCTAGTAAAACTTTCGAAGTATGTGGGTTAAAAAGTGAGATATTGCCAAAACCAGAGTATCAATGAAAAAGAAAGAACATATTATAATATATTAATATCATACCACTATACCAGTGTGAAGCTTACTACCAACACCAATAACTCTAGAAAAGGCTCAAGATATTGTGTGATTTATTTAGCGAATAGATAAAATGGAATTACAGCTAAAGCTGTCAAAATGTGAGAGTATTAAATATGAAGTATTTTATTACCAAAACCAGAGTATCAATGAAAAAGAAAGAACATATTATAATATCATACCAGTGTGAAGCTTACTACCAACACCAATAACTCCAGAAAAGGCTCAAGACATTGTGTGATTTATTTAGCGAGTAGATAAGATGGAATTAAAGCTAAATCTGTCAAAATGTGGGAGTATTAAATATGAAGTATTTCATTACCAAAACCAGAGTATCAATGAAAAAGAAAGAACATATTATAATATCATACCAGTGTGAAGCTTACTACCAACACCAATAACTCCAGAAAAGGCTCAAGAATCGTCAGAGAAGTGAGATATTGCTGCCATATCTTGTGTGGATTTCTTGTTTTGTTTGACGCCTATTCACACTTTAATCTAATTTGATGTTTACTTGACTTGTCTTAAAATGATGATGGAAGGCAATAAATGACAAGATAATGTCAATGGACTTTGGCGGATTTATGGCTGAGATAAAGACTGTGGATTCACAAGATTCGGTCAATGGTGGAGTGCTTGTCCTTGTGACTGGCTACCTTACCGGAAAGGACAACGTAAGGAGGAACTTCACCCAGTCGTTTTTCCTCGCCACCCAGGACAAGGGCTACTTTGTTCTGAATGACATTTTTAGATATGTGGAAGAAGCTGATCAAGAACAGGGGAACGAACAGGGGAACCAAGCGTTGGCAAATGGGATCACTGCTTCTCATTCGTTAGAACAGGGTATGCTTTAGGAACACCTAATTTCTAAAATTATGTACCTAGGTTCAGATAATTTTTTTGCCAACCTCTATTACATCTTCCTTCGATTTCTTTGCAGAGACTCCTCAATCATCAGACGAACAGGTTCCGGAACAATCTGTGTCACCACCAGAAGAAGAGAATGTGATTGAAGAAGTGTACAATCCTTCGGAGGATGAGGGTTCTATTGTGGAGGAGGAAGCACCTGATGGTGAGGTCATAGATGAAATTCCGAACAGTTTCCAAGCAACTGCTGTAGACTCCGCTGCTACTACCATTCAAGAAGATGCACCAAAGAAATCATATGCTTCAATTGTAAGTCTTTGTTTCTCATGCATGTCTTTGGAATTGTTTTCTTATATAATCAACCCCCAAGTTGATCATTGTGGGAGTTCCGTTTGGATCTTCAAGCTCACCACTAGATTATTTGACATGCTATTTGATAAAGAATAATTAATTAATTATAAAGTAAAGAATGATTAATTGATTATAAAGTAAACTTCAATAATCTGCTTTAGGGGCTACTGAT